ATTTCTGAGGCAACCAGCGTTTTAATTTGAAGCATGTGCTTCACATTTTGGAATAAAGACAGTGATTTGGTACCTGCACAGATACAAGCTGTGTCTCCCTCAGGGAACATGCCCCATGGAGTGTGACAATTTAAATATAGTAACAAGTATAGCATTTTGAAATTGATCTCAGTATTTCTAGAATTGTTTCCTGGGGAGACTAACAGGGCACTAAAAGAGAGAGTAGAGGAGTTTTGAGGATATATGGAGAAGGATTCACAGTAATTTATTTATAGTTTCTAAAGGCAGTCTTGATAGTCAGAGCAAACTTAACAGCTTTGTTCCTCAATTTATTCACTAGTAGAGAGAGGATATTTACATATATTTTTCATGGCTGAGGAAATCCAAATTAAAAGAAAATGTTTATTGTTGTTAATGATATTTTGCCCACTGAGGAAATTATAGGCAAATACTTTCTTGAATACAATATTAAATGTTCCTCCGCCCTGACCATGAATGCTCAGCCTTAATGGGCACCTGGCCCAAGATTTTCTAATCCAGAAGCTTACCACTTTGTCTGCTGAATATAAGACCAAGTAAACCGAGCTTTGGATTTGAACAAATTAAAATTCTATATTTGCTTTAGTAAGCTTTCAGAGAAACATGGCAGCTTTGATACTCTGGAATATTGTAGTCGCCAGATTGTCCTGTTTCTTTGTTGTATCCTTTCTACGATTCTATTGCAAGTTTTCTATTTTCAGATTTGTTGATTTTGCAAAAAGTCCCATTTCCAGAAATCATTTCTAACCAAAGTTCTGATTGCATGCCCATTTTTATTCAAATTTATTCTTGATCTGTGCTTTTCAGTACAGTAGCCACTATTCACATGTGTTTATTGACATTTAGCTAAAATTAATTAAATTTAATTAATATTAAAATTCAACTTTTATGAAATTTCTAAAATAGTCAAGCATATAGAAACAGGTGCAGAATGGTTATTGTGAAGACCTAGAAAGAAGGGGACTTAGGAAGTTGCTGTTCAACAGGTGTAACATTATTTGTTAAGTGTTCTTACCTTAAATTAAAAAAAAATCATTTTGTCAATCACACAGCTAAATTTAAATAGCCATACATAGCTATGACATTAATATTGGATTTGCTCAGACATAGAACACTCCTATCATTACAGAAATTCCTATCAAATAGTACTGGCTACATTCTATTTGTTGGAATTTTTTTTCACATCCTAACACAAAAAAAGTCTTTGAAGCAGACAGAGTAAATAGGTTGTAAGTAGCAGACAACAAAATTCAAGCAAGTTTACCAAAAAAGGAAAAATACTCATTCATAAAACTTGAGGGTTGGTTTAACCTAATTCCATAATAAGTTGTAAAAGTGTATTTTTTGTTTGTTTTTCTTGGCATTCTGATTTGTGTCAGCTTTAGCCTAAGGGTTATCTTCTCTACATGTTCATAGGGTAGTTGCCGCAAGTAAGTAGTCCTACAAATGCAATAGAATTACCAATTTTCAGAAGTGTTTTTTTTTTTTGTTTGTTTGTTTAGAAGTAAACAAACCTTTGTTGAAAATCATCACTCCAAATTGCTTCTGTTTCCATTTGCCAAACAAAAAAGAATAGAATTAAATGACTTAGTTTAGGCATCAAAGCAAGGAATATGTGGATTGCATGAATGAAGACGAGGGTAGTTCAAGAGAAGGAATTGTTTGGGGGAAGTTTCCCAAAATGTCTCTGTATGCTATGCTAGTGGCTCTCAACAGAGGGTGACTTTGTCTGCCAGGCAACATTTGGTGATATTTGAAGGTATTTTTAATTGTCATAACTGGAGATATTCAACTGGCATCTAGTGGGTAGATACCAGGGATTACACTAAACATCATCCAATGTATAAAACAGTCCCCCTTACAAAGATTTACGTGGACCACTGTCAACAGTGTGAGGTATGAGAAATTCTGTTCTGTAAGATTGTTTGAAATGGAATTTAGCTTAAATTTTAAAAGTAACTTTAATGACTTGGATAACTTAAAAATACACAGATAAACCTGGCTTCAGGCATGATCTGATCCAGAGATTTGCAAAGTCTTATGTGCTTTTCTTGCACTCCCTTGTAGTTTTCTTGGTTTTTCCATCATCTAGAACTTCAAATTATCTCCCTCATGATAGCAGCAATTGTTGCTACGCTCCCACATTGTTACCTCCCTGTAGCAAGTCATCTGTTGAAGAGAAAATTACTTTTCCAATAGCTTCCCCAAAAGAGAGGAAACTTTTTCAGAACCTGCCAGCAAATAGCTTCTTTCAATTAGCCAGAGTTGTATCACAGGTCCATTCTCAAACCAAGCTATGACAAAGAATTGGTAACTCTCACCTGTTTCACAACTGACAACAGGAGGTGAGTAACTTTACAAAGGAAAACCTGACAACCTGTTTGGGAATGGGTGCATAGACACCTACCAAATATTGACTATAGTATTGGTGGATTGTATGACTATTACCTGTAGCACATAGCAGGATAGAAATGGTGTGTAATTCTAACAGAACTGAGAAGGATAACTACAGAAATGGGAATAGGAGAGTCAAGTAACTTCAAGAAAAACTTGAGTCATATCATAACCAGACAATTGCTTTCCCATTGGTTCCTTGCTATATGATTCTTTTGAATCATCTGCCACAATTTATATAAAACTCCATTTCAAAAATGAGCAACAAACTTGGGAAAAGACAAAGTCACTTTTCCTCATATGAAATTTTCAGAATCATTTGTCCCTTTACCTTTCATTAGTAGAACAACTTGGATAAGTCACTAAATCTCGAGTGACATAGTTTCTTCATTTGAACAATGGAAAAAACAATAGTACCTTCTTCATAGTGCTTTGAGAATTTTAAAAATGATTTTAAGAAGTAATTGTAAGTTTGCAAATGCTCAATCAATATTGTTATGATTGCTGTTAGTTGTACTTAGATATCTAAGGCCATAAATATTCCAATTTCATGTTTTTAATCCAAGAATTACCTGACAATACTTCCATGATGATTTTTTCTAGATTATCTGTGTTGAACTGTGTAATGTCTTTAACTTTATGCCATTTTTTAATATCCTGTTGTCTCAAAATTATTTTATTTACTGTTATTTAATAAAGACTTATGGAATGTTTATTTTCTAGATAGATACAATTTTTCCCTTTTCTCTGAAAATAAGACATTCCTATTTAGTCTGATATGCTAGATTATTTTGGGTATCTGGGAATATTACCATTAATTTATAAGGAAAACAATTTTGAGCAGTCCCAGGCCCACTGAATAACTTACCAAATCATACCAAATTGGAATGTCTGCTTTCAGAAAACAGGATACCTATAGATAAATATAATTATTTAGCACATTTTAAAAATTATTTTTCAAAGTCATAATCTTTATTGGAAAAAAGAGAAGAAAATGTTTACTCCCACTAAACTTAGAAATGTAAAGCTGATATGTGCTGCTGTTGTTTATAATTCACCTTCTTTTACACATTTATTAGCTGAAAAAGAAAATTAAATGTGATTTGAAAAGTTGGGGAAAAGTTTCGATTTAATTTATCCAGCCTAACAAAAAAGGGTTCATCTACATTAAAATAACAGATGGTCTGATGTTGTCTCCACACCTCTTAAAAGAAAAAATAATGAAAATTTCTTGGGTATTCAAAGAAATGAACATTTCTTGGCTATCCCAGACAAGTAGTAGGTGATATGAGTGGTATTATCTTCATTTGGAGCATTTGGAGAGAGCAAAATTGAATCCGAAAAGTTCAGTAACTTACTGATAGTTGTACGTATAGTAAATGGAGAAACTGGGATTTGAACATGAATCTATTTGACTTCCAGTTTTCATGTGTGTGTGTTTCTACTGCATCCTGGCTGCCTCAGAAGCATAACCACAAGGACCAATATAATTTTATTCTGTCAGGAGCTCAACAAGAATTCCTTGTGCTTTCAGTCTGTGTTCACATTTTTATTTTGCATGGAATGCGGGATGCTGTGGCTTTAGTATGTATATATCTTCCCTGGGAGGAAGTATTTATCTCTTTCTAAGGCATGAATTATGTTAAATTACTTCTGCTTATGTTTCCTTTCAGTGTATGTTCTTTTATTTGCCAGCCTTCTTGATACCAGTTCCAAATCCCCTGTGTCATTTGGAATTTATTTTTATTATGGTTCATTAAAACATACTTTCCCTCTATCTAGAAATTCTTTACCCTCTGATTAATTTAGCAACTGTATATGTGGAATTATGTGATAGGCACCATGTTGATAACTAAAGAACTCCCCAAGCTTATATCTACTTCATTAGTAGGGACTACCAGCTTGCAGTTAGACAGTTTGCTTTTATTTGATTGATTTTTTTTTCTTTTCATGAATTCAAATGATTTCCTTCCTTAGTTTTAATTGTAAGCAATTGCATATTTTTGCTCTTGATATTTTAAAATAATGTGTCCAAAAATTTGAGCCTGCTATTTTACTGTAAGAAAGTTTATTATCATAAATTCCCCACTCTTAACAAGCAAATTTATAACATTATAGTATGTAAATGTAGTATTTTGCATGACTTTCAAAGCTATATAGTAGTAGACATTTATATAATTTCAAAACATTTTCATTTGCCTGAGAAAAGATCATTACTAACTTTATCTGAGAATGACTTTTAGAATGAAAAGAGAATAAAATATAGAATGTCAATGACAAGGATGGTGTTAAAGAGGAAAAAATATAATGGGCAATCAGATGCTTACATTTATATTTGGTTGTAGAATTAACAGACAAAAATATGTTTCAAGTAGGTTAGTAGAATAAACATTGTACAGTATAATAAATAATTAGATCTTTAAAATTTTTTTAAAATCAAATCTTTAAAAAAAGCAACAGAAGTTTTGATACTTTTTTCTTATTTTGGGTTATCTATTGTTGTATAACCAACCACTCTAAAACTTAAGATTCTTAACATCAAACTTTTTATTATATCTCCAGATTTTGTGGTTCATGGATTCAGTCAGAAGTCAGCTGGCAGATTTTTCTACTCCATGTGAGAACAACCAGGGTAAGTAACTTGACTGTATTCAGCTGGTGGATGGACTGGTTTGGAGCATTCAAAATGAATTCTCATGTATCTGACACTTTGGCAGGGATAGATTGAAGGTTGTGCTTAGCTGGAGCGTTCAGTTGGTCTCACAACTGGCCTTTTAGTACTGTGGTCTCAGAAAAACTTATTTAGAAACTCAGGATTCTCAGAAAGTGTGTTTCAAGAGACTTGGGTAGAAATTGCAAAACTAGTTTTGACTTAGATTCACAATTCCAGAATATTGCTTGAGTAATATTTTATTTTTCAAGCAAATAAGCTGTTTAAGTCCATAGCCAAGGGAAGAGGAATTAGACTCCTCAATAGGAGGAATACTAAGGTATTTCAGCCATCTCTAATTTATTACATTCTTCTTTTGCTGTGTATAGTATATACTAAATAAGTCAGAGTATTAATTTTCAACAATAATTTTTATTTTTATTTTTTAAAGATTTATTTATTTATTTATACAAGCACTGGGTACAGTCAGAGGGTGAGAGAATTTACCAGAGCCAGAGCAGGGAGCAGAGCAGGCAGACTGATGAAGTACACTGCTGAAGGGAGCAGCGGGCAGCAGGAGAGGTCTGCGCACCATGTGGGACCCTCACCTGGCAGCCGGGGATAGAACCAGCAGTGCAGAGGCTGTGGGCAGCTTCACAGCCTAGCTCTCAACCACTGTGCCACCGGGAAGGCCCTCAACATAATTTTTAACCGTGAAGGAATTATAAATGTTGAGATAGATACTATGTAATGAAGCAAAAAGTTAAATATATAAAAATCACCCAGGTGCTCTTTAGTTAGCATTACTAAAAATTGCCTTCACTGACCACAATCCAATTTTTAATATTTACACATAATAAATAATATTTATTTTTAATGTTTAAATCAACTAGAAATATGTTACAGTGAAATGGATATGGTGATAATACTGGAACTTACACCTCAGAAGAGTGTTGCTTAAGGTTTATATTTTCTCATATTTTGAATTTTTAAGCTCTGCTAGTGATCTAATTTGCATACCCTATAATTCAGTGCCAAGTTACAAATCAGTGAGTGTAGCAGTTGTTTTTAGGAATAAGACTCCTTTTTAGAAAAGAAAAGAGAAGCAAAGAGCTATATAATCAAGAGTTCTTACCAGCTGATAAACTTTGACCTCAAAGCAAATTTCCCCAAGATGTATGAATTGAATTCTTTTAGTCTCATTTCTCTAATGAAGTTACTGTTGGGTGGACATCTCAGGTTCTTCCTCCAGATGTCATGGTTACTGTTCATAAACTTTTCACATTTCTATTCTTGGCTAAAATGATACCTACTGCAAAAATTAAACCCAATTGACAGGAACCAATATGAGATGAATCCTCTTTGCTCTCTCCTAGTAGAATATTTGTTGGATCTTTCTATATGGTTAAAAAGCATCAGAAAATGAAATGAAGATGGCCCAAACTGTTTTGATAATGACTATGGAATGGTTATGATTGTATTTAAATTTACATAAACATGAATATATTAAGCTAGCAGACAAGAATATTACAACTGGAGAAAATTGAAATAAAGCTGAAATATATTTAATTATCTAAATTACTGTTGACATCTATCATTACAAAGTACCAACAGCAGCACAATTTTGTCCTGAGCCTCTAAACACTCAAAGAGCGAGACTACATATATTCCTACAACCCCCAGTGGAGGTATTGAGATTACACATGCTTTCACTAATTTAAAGCGGGACTTTCACACTGGGATGCATTAAAAAGAGAACATTTAAATAAAAAGCAATTTGCTTTGCCTGTAATTGAATTCCCCTTGCTGTTATTGCTAATTATTGACAATATTTGTGATTGACTAAGAAGCTTTTGCATTCAGAGACAAAATTATGTTTCTGCTGGATCTTAGAAGACAGTGGCTGTCTTTTCGATATCAGAGGCTGTTACCATGGAAATGATTGTAATTTGAGAAATGTATCAGCAACATGCAAAAAATTGCTTTGTACAGAGAATTCCCTTCCCTTCACTGCTCTGGGCATTGTACAGTCTTGCATAGTAAGTACATGATAATGACTTCTCGCATTTATATAATGTGCCTTTGTTTTACAAAGTACTGCACAATAGATAGAGCATAGTATATGCAACTAGGAGGGAAGGAGTAGAAACATAAATTGAAGGCAATGAGATGAATTGTGTATTTTAGGACAAATTTATATTTAAATTAGAATATAAACTATGCTTTCAAGCTTCTTAACATGGAGACATGTTTGCAAATAGCAGTGATAGCAATAAGAAAATATCTAATCAATGTTTTATTTCAAAACACATTTCCTATTCATGGAGCTATTACCATTTGTTTTACCATTTATTATCTTTTGATGTGAATAAATGGACTATTAGTCCATTTATCTGATGTGATAAACCTCTTTCCAGAACACTTGAAAGAGGCTTCCTTATTTTCCATATACTTCAGTCTAGTTGAAATTTCCTGAGAAATTCTTAAAAGAAGTCATCCTATAGGGAATTTGGTGTAAGATGGCCTTATTAGAAGTTACTGCATATGGCTCTTACTTGAAAAAGAGAGGGAATGGAGAAAATAAATGGAATTTTTTAGAATAAGTAAGAGAAGCAGAGGTTAGATAGGTAGAAGAACTTTGGTTTCCAACTTTCTGATTTCTTGCTCAAACTGCTGGAGGGTAGGAATTTCCTGCCCTTTTACTCCTTTCTGTTCATCTGAGTTCTGTGAGTGCATTTTTTTAAGCTTATGAATATAACAGATTTAACTCAAACTAAAATAATAGGTATAATGGAATAGCAAGCAGCATATTGACAAAGAAAATGCAGAACTAGATATGAAATAATGGTGGAGGCCAAGGAGAATTCTTCAGTCTGGATCTAAGTCAGAGTCTGTGTGCAGAAGAGAGACAGCTCATTATAGCCTGTCGCTCCTGGAACTGATACTGCATAGCTGATTGGGGCCTCCACTTCCATGTGGCCAGGCTGGAAGCAAACACTGACAAGGACACAACTCAGATATAAACTCCTCAGGGAAGCCCTTTATACTCATGGTCAGCTTCTGTGCCTAATCCAACTAATATTACAGACTTTGGAGCTCAAAAATAGAGCTGCATACATACAAAAAGTAGAAATGCAGTGACACTGCAAAGTAGTGGAGGAGAGGTGGCTCATTTAGTAGATTATATTTGGAAAATAATATTACATGGAGACTAAAGAAAGCTTAATCCCTATTTTGTAATATATACAAAGGTGTAGGTATCAAGTGGATTAATATGAAACGATAAAGCTAGTTGAAGAAAGTGCTGAAGATTATCTCCAAGAGTCAGGGTTTAAAGACTCTTTTTTAACTTAGAAAGACTTGGAAAACACAAACTAGATTTTGAAATGATGTATTTTAATAATCCAAATTTTTTAAAAATTGTCTCATTAAATTTATGGATAAATAATGTCACAATAAAATATTTGCAGTGTTCTAAAACAGGTTAATACCTAGAGTTCATAGGGAACTCTAGCAAAGCAAAACTACAATAAGAATACAGGAAAAATGTGGAAAAGCATATGAATAGGTATATAAATTCACAGAAGATAAACTCAAAGGCTGGTAACTAAATGAAGATGTGTTCAAATTTACTCATGATTCTGAGAAAGGCAAACTATAACCATAAGTAACAAAAATTATGAGCAGGGTCTCAATTTATTTTCAAGGATGTAGAAAAGAACTCAGTAGTGCCCTTTGTGACTTCCAGTAATATCCACAGGTTCCTAAGTGACCTGGCAGTATTTACAGACATGGAGATTGTTGGATTTCTTGTGAACCAGTAGTCTTTCTCCTGTTTATGTGCATATGACTTTGTATAGACTCACATACTTAAATTTTTATAATTTACAATATATTTACAGTCATCCCACATCGCTGACAAAATAGATATGACTGTTTTCATCTATGTTTTGCCTCTGATGGGTAGGAGTTAGGAATCAGAGATCTCCGTATATACTAGCAAGATGTGGAATAATAAGTGATCATTAAAAGCAGAATTTTAATTCAGGTGGCGCTTAGAAAGTGTTTAATGGCAATACTGTAAAAAGAGAATGAGAAATACAAGAAAATATTTAGAATAATATTAGAAAGAATACATTTAAAATGCATACAACACTACATGTTACACAAGATACCTATATATATGTGTGTTTGCATAGATCTTTAAAGTAATAATACATTAGATTGGTCTATCAAAGAAGAGAAAATTGGGATGAAAGTGGGACACAACATAAAACGTGTAGAAGGCATAGCTCCATGAGATGCAGGCATGTGCTACATATTGAGAATATAGTCCTTTTTATACAGGCTGTAAAACCAAATAAAACAAAACAAGGCAATCAGTGCAGAGGTTGATGGTAATTCTGAATTTCACAAAAGATGATTGTCATATAAATGTTAACTTTCTGAGAAAATTATCATCTGATGGATGTTTCTTGTTAATCTGAACATTCACAAAAATGATCTTATTAATTCCTAGACTTCTTTAGGCAAAAAATAAGATTTTTCAATTATATCATTGTATGTGCCTTAGCTGCATCATCTCTTCTCATTACCATCTCTGTTTTAAATAATGTAAAGAGAGGCATGTAGAAGGTATAGGACTAGTTTCAATTCAGTGTTTTCATTCTTATTGTTTCTACACTGTAGTAAGTGCTATCTACAGTTTAAGAGAGGTTTTTTTAAAGAAAGGCACAAATTGAGATTTTTAAGGTGAGCGGATTTTTTTTTTTTTAAATCAGGTTAGTCTCTGAAGAGGAGAAAGCAACATTTCTGTTTTATAAGGAGTATAGGAAGCAATTGCCTTTAATAGTGCAAGCTGAACATGAAGAGGCAGGAGACAATTAAATGTTGGGTGTTATATTTCTAAGGCGGTTCTTAAACTACTTTGTGTGAGCTATTGCATATTTCAAAATTGTCTTTACTCAGTTTCCTTCAGTTTT